TTGTCTCTGAGTGCTAGTGGGATCCAGCATACCTTAGATGCCTAGGATCTGCTTAAAATAAAAAAAGTGAGTTGGACTAGCACCAAGATTAGAGAAGCCCCTGGAATCTCTGGCAAAGACCAACTGGTGAAGGTCTTTCCCTGAACAAAGCCAGTTTGTGAAGACTGGGAAAGGTGAATGTTTCATTTAATGTGCACACCAAATACAGAATATGAAGAAAAGAGAAACAGGGAGATATGTTCAATAAAATAAAACAAGACAAATCTTCAGAAACTGATCCTAATGAAATGGAGTTATATAATTTACCTGACAGAGAATTCAAAATAATCATCACAAAGATGCTCACTGAAAACAATATCTGAACAAAGTGAATTTTCAATAAAGAGACAGAAAATATTTTTAAATTACCAGACAGAAATCATGGAGCTAAAGAATACAGTAACTGAACTGAAAAAAATCTTTAGAGGGATTCAACAGCAGACTACATTAAACAGAAGAAAAGATCAATGAATTAAAAGATAGGTCACTGGAAATTATTGAGTAAGAGGAGCAAAAAGAAAAATGAAGAAGGGAAAAGAAACCTTAAGAGACTTATGCGACACCATCAAGTGACTAGTATGTATACTGAGTTGCAGAAGGAGAAGAGAGAGAGAAAGAACAAAAAAAGCATATTTAAAGAAATACTGAAAATTTCCAAATCTGGGAAAGGAAATGGAGAAATAGATCTAGGAAGTACAGAGGATTCAAAATAAGACAAACCCAGAGAAATCCACACCAAGACACATTGTAAACAAAGTGTCAAAAGTCAAAGACAAAGAATTTTCAGAGTTGCCAGAGAGAAGCAACTTGTTATATGCATTAATGTCATAAGACTATGGATGGATTTCTTTAATCAGAAATCTTGCAGTACAGCAGGAAATGAAAAAAACATAGTCAAAATTCTGGGGGGAAAAAAGTATACCTGGCAGAACTCTCCCTCAAAAATGAAGGCAAGACAAACACTTTTATCATCACATGACCTGACCTGCAGGAAAAACTAAAGAGAGTTTTCAAGTTGAAAGAATGCTAAATAGCAACACAATAGGATAAGAAAATATAAAACTTGTTGGGAAAGGTAAATACATAGACAAATAAAGAATACTGCATTATTGTAACAATGGTGAATAAGTGACTTGTAGTTATTTTATAAAAGGCAAAAGTATTAGAAATAATTATAACTAAAAATGTTAATGGATGCACAATATAAATGGATACAAGTAAGTGTATGGAAATAGTAGTAAAAGTGTAGTTTTTGTATGTGATTGAAGTTAAGATATTATCATAAGATAGACTGTTATATGTTTAAGATATTTTATGTAAGCTGTACAGTAACCACGAAGATATACCTACAGAAGTTATAGAAAAGAAGAGAAAGGAATCAAAGCACATCAATACAAAAAAATTAATGAAGCACAAAGACAGCAGGAGAGCTAAAGAGGAGCAATAGAAATACAAGACAAATAGAAACAATTCCCAAAATGGCAATAGTAAATCCTTCCCAATCAGTATTTACATTGAATGTAAATGAATTAAATTCTTCAATCAAAAGACACAAGAGAAGTTGAATGGATAAGAAAACAAGATCCAACTCTATTTTTTGTGTTTTTTATTTCATGAGACAGGTTCTTACTCTATTGCCCAGGCTGGAGTGCAGCGGGGTGAATATGGCTCACCTCAGCCTCTGCCTCCTAGAGTCAGGTGATCCTTCTGCCTCAGCCTCCCAAGTAGCTGTAGCTGTGACTACAGGCATGCACCACCATTCTCAGCTAATTTAAAACTGTGTGTGTGTGTGTGTGTGTGTGTGTGTGTGTGTGTGTGTTGATGGGGTTTTGCCACACTGCCCGGGCTGGTCTTGAACTCCTGGGCTTAAGGATCCACTCACCTCAGCCTCCCATAAAGACAAAATAAATTTGTTAAGAACTCTCACAAGAGATAAAGAAGAACAATATATAATGATGAAAAGATTGATTCACCAGGGAGATATAACAATTACAAGTAGATATGCACCCAACGTAAGAGCAACTGAAAATATAATGAGAACATTGACAGAATGATGGGAGAAACAGCAGTGTACTAACAGTAGGAGACATCGATACCTCTCTCTCAGTTATGGATAGAACAATCAGACAGAACATCAACAAAGAGGTACAATGGGCTGGAACAACACCAGGCCAAATAAAACCAACAGACATTCACAGAACATTTCACCTGTAGCAGAATACACATTCTTCTGAGGCACACACAAAACGCTTACATTTTGTGTCACAAAACAAGTATAATAAATTTAAGAAGACAGACATTTCTTACCACAATGGAATGAAACCAGAAATCAACAGCAGAAGAAAAACTAGAAAATTCATATATATGTGGAAAGTAAACAACACACATTTGTATAACCAGTGGACCAAAGAAGAAATGAAAAGGGAACTTAGAAGACATCTTGAAAGATAAAAATGAAAATGCAGCACACCCAAACTTATGGGATATAAGAAAATCAGCATCAACAGGGAAATTTATATCTTACACAAAAAGGAAAAAAAATTATATAAACAACCTAACTTTTCAGTGAATTAGAAAAAGAAACATAAACTAAGTCTGAATTTAGTAGAGGGAGGAAAATAATAAATATTAGAGCAGAAATAAAGTAGGGAATAGAAAAACAAGAGAAAATAATCAGAGAATCAGCAAAGAGTTTGATCCTTGAAAAAAATAAAACTGGCAAACTTTTATCTAGACCAAGAAAAAAAGAAGTCAAATAGATAAATTACAAATAAAAGAGGAGACATTGCAACTGATGCCACAGAAATAAAAAGATTTGTAAAAGACAACAATGAGCAATTATATGTCAATGAAATGGGGAACCTAGAAAAAATGGGTAAATTCCTAGATACATACAACCTACTAAGACTGAATCATGAAGAAACAGGAAGTCCAAATAGACCAATAACTAGTAAGGAAACCTCCCAACAAAGACAAGCCCAGGACTAAATAGTTCACTAGTGAATTCTAGCAAACTTTAAAAAAGAATAATGCCAATCCTTCTCAAACGCTTTCAAAAAACTAAAGAGGAAGGAAGACTCAGACTTGTCAGTCCTGCATTACTCTCACATGAAAAGCAGTCAAAAGTATTCCAAGAAAAGAAAACAACAGGCCAGTGGCCCTGATTAATATAGACGCCAAATTCCTCGATAAAATACCAACAAACTCAATTCAACAACACATTAAGAGGTTCACAACCAAGCGAAATTTATCTTGGGATGCAAAGAAGGTCCAACACATGAAATTTTTCTTTCTTTCTTTTTTTTTTTTCTGAGACAGAGTCTTTCTCTGTCACCCAGGCTGGAGTACAGTGGTGTGATCTTGGCTCACTGCAACCTCTGCTTCATGGGTTCCAAGAGATTCTCCTCCCTCAGCCTCCTGGGTAGCTGGGATTACGGACACACACCACCACGCCCAGCTAATTTTTTGTATTTTTAGTAGAGATGGGGTTTCACCATGTTGCTCAGGCTGGTCTCGAACTCCTGACCTTGTGATCCACCTGCCTCAGCCTCCTAAAGTGCTGGGATCATAGGCGTGAGCTACCGCAGCATCCAGCCTATTTCAGGAATATTTGTAAACATTCTAATTGTCACAGTAAAGAAAATGGATTACATTTTCCAGCAAGACACAGGACTTTTCAATTTGGGTATATAATGAAACAGGAAACAGAAAAAAAAAGGTATAAAAAGGTATCACAGGCAAGAATTAAAGAAGAAACTGGTGTGGCAATATTGATATTAGACAACATTTAGTTCTATAGGCATTAAATGGGTCAAAGAGAGATGACTTATAGTAATAAGACAGGCATCCTGTCAAGAACCTAGAAATATAATGAACTTTCACAGTGATGATGATGATGGGCATTTATTGAACTCTTTAACTGGTGTTACTCTGCCAGTTTCAAACATATCACAACAGCTCTCATCTATTTTACAAATGAAGGAAGAGGCTCAGAGAGTCTAATTAACTTGCCCACAGTTACTCAGCAGAGGGGTGGGGTAGCCAGGATTCAAACCCACATAGTTTTTATGCTTCATCTCAAGGAGGACATTCTGCTTTCAAAAGTGAAAACTTCATATAGCATGTGCCCAAGTGAACAGTAAAAAGAAAGATGGAAACTAGATCAGTTTTAAGTCTGCTCCAAATATCTCACATGTGAGGATGATGCTGAAACAGTAAGTGTAACAAAATTTAACAGTCCATTTCAGGAATATTTTAAATATTCTAATTGTCACAGTAAAGAAAACGGATTACATTTTCCAGTAAGACACAGAACTTTTCAACTGTCTCAACTGTCAGTTCCTCTGTCTGGAATGGCTGGAATCCAGGAATTCCTATTAGAATTGGATAAGTGTATACCTATAGCATTGTGATATGAATAATCTGTTTATTTGTTCAAGCAACACTTATTTCCTAAGATGCTGAGTGTTCTGGGTAAGCACTGACTATGAACATGACAAGATAAGGCTGTTGCTCTTACAGAACATTCTAGAAGAAGTGTCAACACAGCAATAATTACAGTACAATAAAAAATGTGACTGGTTGGGTACTGGAAATTGGGAGTCCCTTTGAGGAGGTGACCTGTAATCTGAAACGCAAAAGCAAAAAAGAACTGCCCTGTGGCAATCTGAGGAGAAACATCCCCAGAGGGGCACATTCCAGATTGTTAAGTGATGCCTCTGGCATTGTCATAGTTCATCCTCATCTGTGATGTATGGCAGGTGTTAATGACCCCGTTTTACAGACAAGAAAGCTCTTCTGGGGTGAACAAAACACTCTCCAGCCTTCTTAAACAGACTGCATCCTATTGTGTAAAATTTAGGCTCTCCCTGTGTATATGCAGAGCCTAAATTTTTCTGAATAAATGTGGAACTGATCCCCAAAGCATATGTCCAAGGATCTTACTTGTGAAAATAACTTACAGCTGCCAAATTTCAGAGGGCAGGCGTGCGCATCCATTGGGAAGTCCTCAAGCTGCATGGGGCACTCTGCAGAGATGGTCAAGCTGAAAAATAAGAGATGAAGACCTTTCAGCCACTCCCTCACCCTCGCCATTCACTGAGCCACCATCATGTCCCAGAAAGCCATATTAAGTACTCTTAAAAATTAATGTCTTTTATGAGATTATCTGAACTGTCCCCACGAAATTACGTAAGCTGGCGTTGTAGGTGAGGATCATTCAGAAGTAAGGCTTAAATCAAATCTACTCAGGAGTTTGGTGGCTTAGGGCGAACTGCTTATAACACAATTTAAGATGCCTTTCAAAGTTATTTATTCTTTGTTTCCTGTCCCCTATTGAGCATTATCTATAAAGCTTTCCTTGACAAGGCTGGAAACGTATGCATTTTCTAAAATGGTTCATAAGCCCAAAAACGTAAATGTAGGATACATGCACATAGAGTCATAGAATATAGGAAAATACAGAGAACGTTTAAATAACAAAATTACAAATATCTACCATTTCACTTATAACCCCATGTGGTACCTTTAGTGCAGAGTTTTCCTATTTGTCCAAATTGTGACAGGAACCTGGCTATAACCACTGTGTAATGGGCCAATGTGAAACTGTATGGTAAGGGACGCTGTAATATAAGAACAATCTCCTGGTACAACCTAATTATTATTTTCTTAATCCAGGCCTTCCAAATTATAATATCACTGGGCACTACCTCTGTCACCGATACGATATAATGATGGTAGCCAGAGCTGGCGTCTGTGTGCCAGGCAGCCTGTGAGGTATTCTATCTGCACTGACTCCTCTCACCCGAGCAGCACGGGGAAACCTGGCGCTATCACCCCCCCAGTTCACAAAGAAGAAAAGTGAGGCGCGGATATTAAGGAACCGGGCCACGAATGCAGAGCTGCACCGTGGTGGAGCCATGACGATCACCCAGGCTGCCTGGCCCTGGCTGCAGAGGCTCCTGAAGGGCACTACCACACGTGGCACACGCAGGGCTCTGCTCCGTAGGAAGCCAGTGCACTCCCAGAGGCGCCACACCCCGGTGCTTTCATTTCCTTGCCACTTTTACCAATTAGGGATGATTCTAAATTTTATCAGTGAGCCTATCTTCTGTTTCTTAGCTTTCTTTCCATTATTTAAGATAAATGGGCCAGGCGCGGTGGCTCACGCCTGTAATCCCAGCACTTTGGGAGGCCGAGGCGGGTGGATCACAAGGTCAAGAAATCGAGACCATCCTGGTCAACACGGTGAAACACCATCTCTACTAAAAATACAAAAAATTAGCTGGGCATGGTGGCGCGTGCCTGTAATCCCAGCTACTCAGGAGGCTGAGGCAGGAGAATTGCCTGAACCCGGGAGGCGGAGGTTGCGGTGAGCCGAGATCGCGCCATTGCACTGTAGCCTGTGTAACAAGAGCGAAACTCCGTCTCAAAAAAAAAAAAAAAAAAAAAAAAGATAAATGATATTACATACAATGAAAGATGAAGATACAAAACATTCAACTTAAAGGACACTTCTGAGCAGGGGAGGCAAGCTTCGCGCTGGCCCGTGGCCTCAGCTCTAACAATCTGTGGCCGCAGGTGTAACACTCAGAACGGACACAGGAGCAGACTGAGGCTGGAGGAAGGGAGGGTGCTTCAAGTGACCTGAACGTCTTCGCCCAGCTGCGCTACTGAAGACCTCAGACAGCAGCCCTAGCTCTATGCCTGCAGCCCCCCACGATGATACTAACGGCATTCTAACCCACAAGTCTATGCCATCGTCAGGGTGGACGTGGAGAGGGCTGCCTTCTCTCAGACACTGCCACGTCCGCCAGCCCCAGCAGGCACTCAGCTTCCCACTGGGTCTGGAGGCTGCCAGGAAGTCAGTCTATGGCCTGCGTTCTTGACCTCTTGGAGAGTCTGAGTTACCACCTGCCCCTTGCTCTGTGCCGGCATCCTCCTCCAATCCACAAGGCCACTGTAGGCTCCAGAACAGACGTTTCTGTTGCATGCCCTTACTCTCAGAGGAGGCCCTAGGGAAACCTGATCCCCCAGGCCCCGTGAGGCGCTCTGCCAGCTCCCGGTTCATTCCTCCCCCTTTTCTGGCCAACACTGTCTTTCTGCCATGGTGGGCTTCATTCTAGCTGTCTGGCCCTGAGAACTGCCCACCTTCTGAAAACCACTGCACTGACGATGGTGAAAGATGACATTCTGACAAGGCATGTACACCAAGGAGCTGGCTTTTAGGATATTGCAGGAGCGTGTGCGTGTGTGTGAGTATATGTGTGCATGCAGCACGTGTGGGGGCGGGGAGGGCACACAAACCCAGGGGGACAGAATTTAGCTGGATCTAAAAAAAAAAAGGACACTTAAAAAAAATTCCAGTAAAATTGTAAAAAAGAGTTTTTCTACAATTACCATCTCAATAAAGGCTATTACTAGAGCCTTGTGAATTCTTCTCCCAGTTTTATAGAGCTCCTTAGAAATAAAATTCTAAACCTCAGGAAAGTATCCTTCATCTCTGAGAGTGTCTCTTTTCTAACACATGAATGTATTATTCAGATAAATCTCTCAGTAAGAACTGTTTCAGCCTCAGTCGGGAAATAAATTTAAATTTTCGATCCCTCTAAACATTTCAAAAATGGCCTATGCTTTAATAATACTAAAAAGTCTCTCTCGGTGAAAGAAAGCCTTCTATTCATGGGGCTCTTGAAATGTAGAATGCCTTGATGTGGAGCCAGCCGCCTTACACAGAGCTGAGATCAAGGCCTCTGAGAAGTGCGTGACTATCACAGCACAAAAGAGCCAGCCAGGTCACCGCTTGAAACTCTCACTCTTTACATAAAGAAACGCAAGCCCAAAAGGTTAAGAAACTTGCCTGTGGAAAGACTTCACTGAATTACTGGAAAATCCAGGAATCCAGTATTTTTTCCAAAAGTCCAATTTCTGTTTTACTTCCAATTTCTGTTGAGACATTCAAGCATTCACTTATTGAAGCATAATATCCCATTTTTGAAAAACAGCTTGATTTTAGGGTAAGGGAAGGGGCACTTTTATAAGTTACGAAAATTGCTTCAACTTGGATTTACACCCAAGTCCGCTCCACATGAACCTTTATGGTAAGGATGATGATGATGGTAATCGAGGGCTCAGGGTCTAATGTCTGTGTGTCCTCAGAGACAGTTTTTGTTCATTTATTTCTCCCTTTGAACAGGCCACTGTTTCTTTGTATGTCTCTTATTTCTTCCTTGAAAGCAGGACATTTTGATTATTATAATGTGGTGATGCTGGGTGTTATATTCTCCCATGTCCACAGTGGTTTTGTGTGTGTGTTTGTTTATGCCTGTTGTGATTATTCTTGTTTGCTTGGTTGGTTTTTGTAAACTGTGTTGTTTGTTCTGTGGGGTCACTCTTTCCTTAGTTTATTGGTCAATTAATTATTTGATGGAGATATTTTTAATGCCAGCAACCAAAATTTAAAAACAAAAAAAATAAAAGCCTCTCAGTCCTTGTAGATAAAGTCTGCATGCATGTTAGAACACTCTTTAAGTGCCTAGCCAGGCAGTTTACAACTTTGCTATAATTTCACTTTTTTCTTGTGTGGAGTTTGAAGGTAGCCAGACATGAAAACTTTGGGTCTTTTTAGGTATTTTCTTAGTATGTGTCCAGGCCAGGGCATGCACATGACCTCTTAGAACACCTGGTGTAAGTGGGACCTTTGCAGTTCTTGTTCCCCTTGTATATCTTTCCCCAGATTCTTCTTTCCTAGCTTTATGATGAAAGAAATGCTTTCATTTCTTAAAGTTAAACTTTGAATTTTATTTTGAGAAAGTTTTGTGCATTTGTGTTGTTTCTCTTTTGTAGTATTTTTTAAAAATCAGGCTTATGTGTATTTTTTTTACATTTGATCTGTTAAGAAGATTTATTATGGGGTGTGCAGATGCACATAACAAATTAAACAAAAATATATCCACTCAATCATTACAGTGTCCTCCTGAGGAACACGCGTATGCTTCTCGGTATGCACCCGAAGGAACTGAACACTTATGTCTACACAAAAGCCTTCACATAAATGTTTATGGCAGCCTTAGTCACAACTACAAAAACTTAGAAGCAATCAAGATGTCCCTCCATAGATGAATGAATAAACTTCAGTGTATGCAGACAAGGCAGTGTTATGCCAAGGAAGCTTAAATGCATTTTACTAAGTGAAGTGAGCCAGCCAAAATATAACACACAGAATGATTCTAACTATATGACATTCTGGGAAAAGGCAGAACTATGAAAGAGAGTAAAAAGGTCAGTGGTTGTCAGGGGTTTGGTGTAGGGAGGGATCAAAATAAGCGGAGCACAGAGGATTTTTAGAGCAGCAGAAATGCTCCTGTGATGCCATAATGGTGAGTACGTGTCATGATTTTGTCTGAATACACAGAATGTATGCCACAAAGAGGGAATCCTAATATAAAGTATGGACTGTGGGTAACAAGGATGTGTCAGCTTAAGTTTCAGTTGTAACGTTTGTGCCCCTCTGGTTGGAGATGTGATAAGGAGGGAAGCTACGTATGTGTGGGGACATGGGTTTATGGAAAATCTCTGTACCATACTCTTCCTTTGTCTGCAAACCTAAAACTGCTTTAAAAAGAAAATTCTTTTAAAAATACATTCTTTAAAATCTGAGGGAGTTCACTGCTATAAGACTTGCCATGTAATAAATGCCAGAAATGAGAGGGCACAAGAGGGGAACTCAAAACCGTGTCAGGGACAGCAGTAACTGAAAGCACACAGGTAAACATAAAACAAGCATTATGATATTTTTGGTTTGTAACCCCATTTTCCCATATGATTTAAAATACAAATGCATAAAATAATAATTATAAATCTGTGGTAACATACAATTACAATCTATGTCATACAAACTATGTGTAAAGATACAATTTATGACACTAACAATGGGAAGACAGAGCTATGGTTTTTTTATATGTAACTGAAACTAAGTTGGTTTTAACCCAAACTAGATTGTTATAAATTTCAATGTGAATTTTATTCTGCAGGGTAAACATTAAG